ACACCTGAAATTCGTCTGTGATGAGCCCACCTTCTTCTGTTCGGGAACAGAGTCCTGATCAGCTCCAGGGCACAGCGCCGGGTAGGCCTCCCCGCCCCCCAGCTTCGGTGCTGCTGCCACAGGCTCCTGACGGGCAGCACTCGGAATTCCCAAAGCCAAGGGGATGAACCGCCTGGCCCCGCCCCGCAGAAGGCGGAGGTGGCATCCGGCCCCGCCCCACCCCGCCCCGCCCTCCAGAGAGCTGGGCCTCTGCCTGGCTGTCATCCCCGAGGCCGGGGGTCTTGAACCTGGTCCGTGGGGCCCAGTTCCCTGCGGACGGGGAAGCAGCCCCCACCCCCACGGAGTAGCCCCGGCCCCGGGCCTATCTGCGGAAAGAGCTCCTTCTGACGCCTGAAAACCGAAACGAAAGAAGCCGCTTCCAGGCAAGCGGCCTCGGCGGCCCCGCTCACCTTGCCGCGCTTGAGGGCCGGCTCCCGCTCCCCTTCGCTCTCCTTGTCCCCAGAGCCCTGTTCTCGGTCACGCCTTGGTTTCCCGTCCTCCTCTGTCAGCGGGTCGTTGGTGCTGTCCCTGTGCTCAGCCCCTCCCAGGTCCGTTCTGGCGGTCAGCTCAGCTGGAAGGAACAGAAGGCCGGGCCGTGTCCCGTTACACTGACCGCCTGTGTGGGGCTCGGGGCTGAGCGGGAGGGACAGGCCAGACCCATTTGCTGCGGACGGACAGGACAGCTGTGCCAACAGGACTGGGAGGGGGGCGCATTCCCACTTACCTGGGTACAGGTCTGTCATGCTGTCACTGTCGCTCAGGACTGCGGCGTCACCATCGCTGGACTCGGGTTCCCAGAAGGCTGCCCTCGGGTGAGGTGGCCCGTCACCATCCACCTGGTCTGCCCTCCTCTGCTTGTGCAGGAGGCAGGTGGGCACGAACTCCACACCCTGCTTCTGACACTCCTCGTCTGGGGAACAGGCCAGCTGTTCTGTGTCACCCCTGCCTCCCGGCCCCATGCGCCACCCCCCCCGAGTACAGACCAGTGCCACCAGCTCAGTTCCTACCAGGACAAGAGGGAGGCCAGGGGGTGGGCGTGCGGCGAGGGGCAGCCAGGGGCAGGCCCACTGGCCTGAGCACTTGCCTCCAGCCCCAGCCCAGCTCCAGGAAGCAGCGGCTGCCAGGGCACCGAGCAGGCACGGGGCTCAAGCGCAGCTTGGCCTGGAAGCCATGCCAGCCTGTCACCAGGAGACTGAGGCCCCATCTCAGGCAGGGGAGGGTGGCACCTGGCCTTTGCTGACCTTTGGCCGGGGAGAGAGGAGCAGGA